TCTTAATTGGGTTAGTATAAATGAATTAATGAATATAGTACAGAACTTGCAATATTTGTTCCATTTCACATTTAAATAACTGTAAGAGTTTTGTTTTCATTGACAGATCTGTGTTTTTTCTGCTAACCTTAGGAAGATCTATATTGTGGTTTTTTCTTTTTTCAGATATGGATCCAATTCTAGAAGAAGCCAGTGAAGCAATTCCATTAGAAGATGACAGGTTATAACACGGGATATTGCTCCATTTTTTATCAAATAATAGGTTAGTACTCTTGTACTTATTTTGATATTGTTGCTTGTAAAAGTTTGAGTGGAGTTCCTATTGCTAGATGTTAACTTGATCCTATTTTTTTGCCTTTTTGTTTATAACTCGAATTTTAGACATATATGAATGTAATTTAACATTTAACGCTAGTAGTTCTCGTTTAAATTTTTTATGTTAATGCGTTTTAAACATATTACTATAATATCGATAAGTAAATCGTGGATTAAAACCGAATCAAACCGCAAATAATGGTTTGGTTTGGAAAAATTCCAAACCGCATTAAATGGTTTGAGTTGAAAATATACCCCAAATCGCCCAAACCGAACGGTGTTCAACCCTACCTAAAAATATAGGAGAGTTTAATTGTAAAAGACATTTCTTAATAATTCATGAATGGAGTCAAAGAACGTGGTTTGCATTGCACTGCCGACTTCAAATGTAGACGGATACTATGTCACGATGTTTTTCATCATCTAAATACTTGACTTCTTTTGCGAGAATATAGGGAACGATAGCTTCCAAAAACTTTACATAGAACTTTAGGGCTAGTTTGCAGTTTTTATAAAGTTATTACCAATATTTATTTATTTATCTGTTGGCAGTGGCTTTTCGTAATAAAATCAACATTTTTGAAAATAAAAACAATTATAAAAACTTTTTGGTTGACCGACACAATAATTTAGAATTAGATTATTTTACAACTACAGTAACTTGTATTTGCAAATAATAAGCCCCTTTTTTATGGTCATTGTTTTAAAATAACGGAGATTTGAAATGATGTTTTTAAGAATGTGTAGTTAAAAAGTAATGTAAAAATTTGAGTTTACGTACAAAATATTTTTATTGTAAATATGTTTTTAAAAATGAGTATGAGAATTATAAAGTTTTTTTGTTAGATGGAGACAAAAATTTAAAGGGATAATTGCAACAGTTGTCTCAAATCTTTGAATTTTTCGCAGACTTTATCATAACCTTCAGTTTGTGCCACCAACGGTCCAAGACCTTTGAAAAATTAGCACCTGAAGTTCAAATGAATGATTGTTGTTAGTTTGACCGTTAGTTGGCCCATAAATTTTATTTTGACCAAAACCAAACCATTTTGTAAAGAATAAAATGGTAACTTTGAATTAAAAATAAAAATCAAAACCCAATAACTTCACACACCCATACCCCACCTCCGACTAAACCCAAAACCAGTTGGTCTCGTTTTACCTAGGGCTGTAAACAAAAATCGTCAAACCGGAAAATAGAATGGAAATCGCATTTTAGAAACCGTCGATTTGGTACCATGTGGACCCGTCAATAAAATTGTTTTGAATCAAACAAGTTTGGTTTACGTTTGAAAATTTTAATTGCGTTTTAAAATCAAATCGGACTGGCGAAAAAATATATAAAAATAAAAAAAGAAAATTTTTGAAAAATACAAATATGTAAAATTCAATAGTTTTGTCATGTGTGTATATTTTTGTCAATTTCTAATTTTCTATTACATATATATTATTGTTACCCAATAATCCTAATTTATATCTAATAATCTCAAGACTAATCTAATTTATCAAAAGCCATTTTCCTTTTCAGAATTCAGATGAACTTTAGCAGACACTCGACACGGTCTTGAGCCACCGGCACCACACCAAATCGGAGACAAATAGACCCCGGGTCTTCGGTGATAATATTTGCTACGAATAAAGTTTCAGATCAATAATTTTTTTGAGCAAACTGGGGTAAAAAATCTGAAATTATATGTGTTTCGCATTTCTCTCAACTATTGGATGATTGTGAAATAAATTTATTTACTTTGATGGAAAGCGTTTATCTGCTATGTACATAATTCTATTCTATTTGTGTGGACATACTCTTGTTTTACGATTGAATTGAGCATGATAAAATATGTCAATAGAAGCTAAGAAGTGTTCGTGTGCAATTTGATATGTGGATGAGCAATTTAATAAACTAAAAGAAACCAACAGTGACTTCAGTGGCAATTATACTTGCATCAATTTAATTGTTGTGTTTTATTGTATGTTTAGATATATTGTTAAACTGTTTCTTTAAGTGTTTTGAATTAATAAGGATAATATATATTCAGTTAGCCTATAAAAGTCTTGAATTTTGATCAAGTAGGCGTAAAGTTTATCATTTGAGGTGTTGTCTTATTGATGTCTTAGTAACTGTATTATGGAATTACATGCTTTTAAATAAATATTTAGTTTATAGGTGCTTTTGGCCTTATATTTAGTTTATTGAACTTGTACTGTAACACTATCATAACGTCTTAGCCTAAAAATGGTGAACAAAAAATTATTATTATGATTTCACTTGGATTTGGTTGGTATTTAAACTTATAGTAGATATATTTAATTGTTTTAGATTTATTGCTAGTAAGATATAAATATATATTGAATTCAACGAATTAATGACATAAAAGTAGACAGACAAAAAAATATACGACTAAATCGGAGGTTTAAAATCGGACCAAACCGTTAGGTTTAGGTTTGAGTTTTTTTTCAAACCGTTCAAAATTGTTTGGTTTATGTTAAGAGTTTTTCTCAAATCGGTTTAAACGATTTGATTTGATCCGTCAAAATCGGTAAAACTGAACCGTTTACGCCCCTAGTCTTACCCCTCTCTGTCGCCACCACCATCATTGTCCTCCTCCATTGACTTTGTTGTTGTTCCCGCCAACGTCTCTTTCCTTATTTTTCCCTCCTCTTCCCCACACTCCAACAAACCTATTTCTCGTATTACTTTGAGCAAAATAGCAATAGCTTTGGCTAGTGATAGCCCCCAAGAATTCACGTAAAAAAAGGGCAGAAAGTTCGAGATAAAATAGAAAACAAAAAATAATGATACAACAAGTGAATTGCCTCATCTTTTGCCATTGTTGTGTTAAAATTGGAATTGAAAAGTTACAATTTTCCCTTCCTCACGTCAGATTACGGACCACCACTCAGGTCTGTTGAAATCTCTTCCATGGGTTTACCTAATTACGATGGTTGGTTGGTTTGGGTGAGGAGAGTTGTGGTGTTGGTATGGGTTGGAGGCGATTAGATATGTAAAGGGATAATTTTCTGGTTTTGATTTGATGGGGTGGGGTGAGTGGGGGTTCGGGGGTGGGCACAGGGGAAGATGATGGGTTTATATGTGATTTTTTGTAGTTTAATTTTTACCTTATTTTATGTATAAAATATAAAGTTATGATTTTATCATTTAAAAAATGGTTTAAATTTGGTCAAAGTCAATTTTTGGGTCGACTAATAGTCAAATTAACAGAAATAATCCATTTGGACATCTGGTACTAATTTTTCAAAGGTTTCAAATCGTTGGTGGCACAAAAAATTAAAAATTTGGGATCACAACTGCAATTATCCCTAAATTAAATAGAGGTTTTGACTAAAATTTATTTGGACACGAGAGCACTCCCAAACTTGCAAAATGACTCCCCAACTTAATTAAATTTTCCGACTCTCCAACTGGTTTCCAAATATTTGCATGTAAGTCCCTCTATGTTCACCAGATATACGCCAAACTTTTTTATTTTTCCCCTCAATAGATTTCTCATAATTGTTTTCCCTCCTTGATATCTTTTTTCTTTTTTTCATTTTTAATCTCTCTCTCTCTCTCTCTCTCGTTCTATGCTTTGTCTCTTTTTTGTGAGGAAATTTCCCGAGAAGAAAAAAATTAATAAAAAACACACACTGAAACTTGAATCCCCTTTATTAAAAATAATGATATTTATCATTATGATAATGGAACGTCGAAGATGTGGCACTCTATGTGAAATAATGAAATTGAGTGGTTCAATTTTTATGAGAGAGATGAGAATGAGATATCACATCGTCGATATTTCGTCATCATGATAATAAATAGCATTACCGTTTTATTAATTCAATTTAATACAACTTAAGATCATGTCAATATTTGTTTATTCTTGTTGATCAATGTTCCTATTTTGTTTCACAAAACGTTCTCGGATAGAATTAAATATATCATCTCGTATGACATTCTTACATTTCTATGAATGATGCAACCATAACAGATTGTGTTAAACACTAGAACACTTATTCAAATCATGCAAGGCATAACTGCCTGCTTCTTTCATGTATGAGACCTCACAAAAATTGTTGTAACATGCTAATTTTCTTATTTTTTTCGAATATAACAAAGATCACATATCAATTCAATTAGTGATATTTAATTGAAAAACATTAAACATGACAACAATCATCCAAGATAAACAAATCTTAACGCCAAAATCTTGAAATTAATATTAGAATTTCATAATAAGTGATTCATTTATGGCATTTGAATTAGCTTTCCAATACATCTTGAATCACCTCAATTGGACATCGTTAGAGAAAGTTATGGCCAAAATACTGAAAGCTGTCAGGCGGAAAAAAAATGACAAAGCCATGCAATCGCATGACACGAATACCATGCGGTCGCCCACTCTTTTACCGAGAATTTGGAGGCTAGAAACTGCATAACCATG